TCTCTTTATTTGCATTTGCACTAATCTCTCATTTCCTGCGGGTGTTTGAAGTCCTCCTGAAAGGACATTGCTGGAGACCACGAAAACAGGAAGCTTTTCTCCTGGTGTCTTTTGTGGGACAGGCCCACATTTCCCAGAAGGGCACACCTGCCGCCCTGTTTACCGAAGGAAAAGCCAGGAGCACGCTTCAGCAGGACCTTGGCAGACAAGCTTATGGGAATGAGCTGAGAGGACCAGTTTTTTAGTTTAGCTGAAGCAGCTGTACTGTGAAGCGGAAGGTGTGGAAGGAGGGTCAGAGGAGTCCCCGTCACAGTCTGCAGACACAGACACGCCTGTCCCCTCCCAGACAGCGCCACCCCTCCCTCACTAGGCTAGTGGCAGACTGAGAAACCCGTCCCCAGGACTAGCTGTCTCTCCTATATTCCCAGGCTTCCCTTGGGGATAATTTATTTCCCTTTTATTTGATCATAGTGCTCATAAACTGGGTGTGGGTCACTGTGAAGAAAAGAGTAATTTTTTGCACAGTAAAAGTGTACATTGCAGAAGATCACCTGCATGGGTGATGACCAATGTCCTTTCCAGTTGGGTGCGTCTGTGATGAGTTTGGCAGAAATCGTGATCTTCTGCAAATGCACACTTTTAATGTGCAAAAATTTACTCTCTTTTCACAGTGACCTGTGCTCAGTTTACAAGCACTATGATCAAATAAAAGGGAAATAAGTTATCCACAAGGTAAGCAGTGGAATATAGGAGAGACAGCTTGTCCTGGAGACGGGTTTTTCAGTCTGCCACTAGCTAGTTGCATGCCTTGGACGTGTAATAACATCCTGACTTAGTTTTCCAATCTGTAAAAGGGGTATAAAAAATAGAAATAAGACCACCATCATCTGCCTCTCCAAGTTGCTGGGCGATTCAAATGAGCTAACACTTGGCAAAGGGCATCCTCCGGCAGACACAGGGACAGCAGGAGTGAAGACAGAAGCAGAGGAAACAAAAGCTGTTAGATGCAGCTGCTCCCGGGGAGGAGCCAAGACCACTCAGTACACTGGCACTGCATCCGAGCTCTGGCTTCTTTACCCAGTTCTGCCACCGCGGGGCTCACAGGAGACACAGCCACTTGACTTCAAGAGGAACGGATCTGCTCCTTAGGAGGCAACTCCCTGGGGACTGTTCCCGAGGGAGCAGCAGCAAGGACGTTTTAAGGTGCCCTCCTGGAAACACCTTCGTTTTCCCATGTCCCCTCCTGACGCTAATCTTGAGGTCAAATTTGGCCAATGTTTTCTCTCAAATAATAATATTAAGAGCAGCCACTAAAGCCTTACAGATAAATCCTATAAAATGCATTATGATGAGAGTCATAGTACATCTATGAGAACAGTGTCTGAGAATCAAACAACTTGGTCCAGGTCACCCAGCAGGTAATAAGCAAGAGCTAGGATTTGAACATAAAGTAGATCTGGCCTCCGTTTCCCCCGTTGTGTTTACCTCGTTTTAGTTAGTCTGTTATTACCTCCCCCCTGGGCCCACTGTAGGAGTCTTTATCTCCCTGTGACCTATCCTAGCTGCTGCTGTCAGATTCTTTTCCCCAAACCCAATTCCGTTTCAATCCTGGCTCACAGCACCCAGCCAGGTACACCACAGGGGCCTTCAATAGTTGCTTGTTGAATGAATGGAACCTCTGCTCATGCTGCCTTAGCTTCCTTCCCTCTACCAAACACCTCGACCTGCCTGTCAGGGTCCTTCAGCTACGGCTCCCCAATCTGATTTCATGACAACCACCTCCTGGGTCTACCATGAGCCTCGGTCCATGAGCCTCCACGCTCCAGACATGCTATTCCCTCCCTGGAATACATTCTCCTCAACACCCCGGTCATCCTGCCACCAACACCCTTTCTAAGTTGAATGAATGGACAAAGGATTCTCTTCTTAGTGAGCCCACACCCAGGACACTATTACTCTTGCAGCTTCAGACCAGGGCAGGTCTTTATTAAAAACAAAACAAAACAACAACAAAAAAAACTACACCAGATTCTAGAGCACACTCTGCCTCACATAAAGTCTTCCTGGTCTCTCTAAGCTACTCTTTTCTTTTCCCAGGAAGTTAAGTAGGCCTTTGTCTCAAGTCCCAGCTAAACAAGACCTTCCCAACTTGTATTTTAAGGATACAGCATTGTGTTTCTGCTTAGGGAGTTCAAAATACAAAATTAAATAAAAATTAAATTGTATACCCTTTTGGTTGGACACAGGATGTAAAAGTAGAAAGCTTCCCAGTCCGATGGCAGAGGAAAAGGGAGGCCAGCCTCCAGGGCCCTCTCTTCCTTTTCCGCCCCTGCACTGGGACTTGGCATTCAAAACACTTGTTCTCTTGCTAATGAAAGAACATACCTATGGGATAATATCTTCCGTGAAGCTGCTACCCCATAGAAGCCTCACCCTAAAGACTTCTATTTTGGCGAGTATATTAAGTTAGTTAAGTTTATAAATAGGAATCCATCTCTTTTCATTTTATTATTTTTAATCTTCAATTACGCCGACACTTATCGATGATTTGGCAATCACGAAACGCACTGGCCCCAAGTGGAAAAGCCAGGCTTGTCTGGTGTGTGTCCTTTATATTGCGAAGTACCTGATGGGCACTTTGAGACTATTATAAACTCTAGTAACTGGGTGAAAGTATACAAATAATGGAGTGTTGGGGGGGGGGGGGGGGGCGGGGCAGAAATCAACACTCCAAGAAGTTACCTGCTAAATTCCCGATTACATTCTTTTAAAGAGCCCTAACAATTTCTTAAAGGAGTAGTGCTGGTCTGCTCTGGTCTACTGTGGAAATGTCTGAGAATTTCTTTCTCTGAAATAATAAGTATTGAATAAGGTCTAGGGAACCAGCAAGGCTAACTCCCTCAGATTACACTGGGATTTCAATTCTTCAGACGCCTCCTTCTAGACCAGTGGTTCTCAACCTGTGGGTCGCGATGCCTTTGGGGGTCGAATGACCCTTTCGCAGGGGTCGCCTAAGACCATCGGAAAACACATATATAATTACATATTGTTTTTGTGATTAATCACTATGCTTTAATTATGTTCAATTTCTAACAATGAAAATATATCCTGCATATCAGATATTTACATTACGATTCATAACAGTAGCAAAATTACAGTTATGAAGTAGCAACGAAAATAATTTTATGGTTGGGGGTCACCACAACATGAAGAACTGTATTAAAGGGTCGCGGCATTAGGAAGGTTGAGAACCACTGCTCTAGACTAATAATGACGCTGAAGTTCAGACCCTTAGAATGCACTGGAAATAGGTTATCTTTTAACCTGGTCATTTGAATGAAGACTCTTTAAAAGACTGCTTTCCCTTGTAAAATAAGCATGAGGAAGCCTCCCTCTAAAATCTAAAGGGAGTGAAATAAAACAACATATGGAAAGAGATTACAGGATTAACACATTACATGATAAGCCTTATGATGACACCCGGCTGCCTCACAATCTTTCTCAAGGAGTCATTGCAAATTCATAACAACTCAACTCCATGCCTCTTACATAAAAAGGAAGCCAGTGGAAACACTAGTAGGTTACTGTTTATTCAGTAATATTTACATCGAGCCTACAAATAAAGAGATGTCTATTGAAAACAGTGAATTTGCATTATAAGTAAATAAATAAACTTGGCTTATTTTTGACTTATGTCTGTGGGATTTCCAAATTTAGTCTTGTGAGCAATGACATAAACAGTAAGGAGTCTTCAGAACTCTCCTCAATGACAAAAGGGCTCAAAGTAATTTATGTCATCAAATTGGAATTTAAACTTAACAAAAAATTGAGAACTACACTTAAAACTGTTTCACTTGCTTAATCTAAGACAAATAAATGTAAAACCATTTTAATACAAATGTATTTTAAGGAAAATCCATAAACTGCCCATAATATAAACAAGTGCTGAAGTTTACTAAATGCATTCTCTCTCCCTCTCTCTCTCTCTCTCTCTCTCTCTCTCTCTCTCTCTCTCTCTCTCTCCGCCCTCCCCCTCATCTCTTTTGAAAAATAGCTGACTAGCTAAAGAAGACGATAAAGATTACTACAAATTTTATAATTTTAGTAATCATGATAGTGTTCACATCTTTGTAGTTTAAAGAGCAAGCTTAGGATAGATCTAACATTAAGCCAATAACAATTTAGACTGCCAAACCCTAGTAACAGATTCTTTCCACAGACTATTTTAATTTTCATAATCTTGTATGGAAACACAAACCCCGAAGACTTTGAGGATAGCCGAGGAGGGTAAACAGTGGTAAGAAGGCCAAGTAGGCACATATACAAAGAATAATAGCACCATATGCCATGAGCGTCCCAACAAGTGCCATCCCTCCTTTCCTCACAAACTCTTAGAACTGACACACACTTTGTCAGGTACAAAGGTTTGGTCAGGACTTTCCTTGCCTGAAGCAATATCAAAATTGCATTTTTTTTGTTTTTTGTTAATCCTCACCTGAGGGTATTTTTCCATGGATTTTAGAGAGAATGGAAGAGAGAGGGAAAGACAGAGAGAAACATAAATGTGAGAGAAATGCATCAATTCGTTGCCTCCTGCATGTACCCCAACTAGGGCCGAATCCAGGGAGGAACTTGCAACCAAGATACCTGCCCTTGACCTGAATCAAACCTGGGACCCTTCAGTCTGCAGGCCTATGCTCTATCCACTGAGCCAAATCGGCTAGGGCCAAAATTGCATTCTGTGGTGGGCAGAGAAGAGTTAAATGTTTAAGCCATGAGGAAATTATTAACTTCTCAGTTGATGACAGAGAATTTGCATTTTTACCCTAATTTTTACCTTTGGTATGTACTTGAGAATAACTCATTGATCCAGCCAAAAAGAAAAGAAATAGAAAATGACTATAGTCTGTATTGGTCGTCTTGTCATTAATAAACAATGTTGGGTGTGTGCACCCCACTGTGTGGAGACCAATCCCACCTTTCCCGCAGTGGTCACTTACCCTTTGGGAAAAAGTTGGGCTGCACCACGTAGAGGAAGATGCGCACCATTTTAAAAAGATTGCCGATGGACCTAGGTATGTAATCGTCTTTGGTCTCATAGGTCGGCGTGGGCAACTGAAACTTCAGACCATCATTGGTACTGTTTGGGGAGGACGAGGGCTCCTCTGAAATGGTACCCTGGCAGAGCGCCAGCAGCAGCAGGACACCGAGTGTCAGGGTCATGGCTAGCAAGGTGCTCCACGCATGAGGTAGAAGTGGGGGCCTCCTGCCTCAGAGGTTCTGGGAGCCGTGGGTAAGCCAGGAGCACGGATAAGCCAAGAGAGCGCGTTTCTGTGTAGAAGAGGCGCAAGGAGGGGAGGACTAGCCTGGATGGCATGCACGATCTCCAGTGGGGTCAGTCACTCAAGGCAGCATCCCTGGAAGACGGAGAAGAGGCATCAGTCACTAACGCGGGGCGGGCCTGCACCGGGAGCTGCCCACGAGGAGGCTGTGAGGCTTTAGCAAGCCCATCTGCCTAATCTGTGTGGGGGCGGGGCTCAGAGGCTGCCTCAGGGCCATGGGACTTGAAAGTTCCATGCAGGTCCCTCCTCCTCAAAGGGCCACATGCTAGGTAGTGTAGAGAAGGCTGTACGGCTTTAGAAACTAACATTTATTGAGCACTTACTACATTCCAGACACTGTTGTCCTTGCCTTAGAGGTAGGATCTTGCTTAAGGCATTATCCTATTTTACAGATAAGGAAACTGACTGAGGATTTCCTTGGTGACTTGCCTGAGGGCACAGCTGAGCCCAAGGGGCTAGACTCTGAGGTTCTCCCTACAGAGCCCTCCCTCTCAGGCTCCAGCCAGAGGCTGAGGCCCCAGCAACAGACTGGATGCTTTCTTTTTTCTCCAAGTTTGTGTTGTTTTCCTGGTCTCTGGAGACATATCTTACTCTGCCTTTTATTCTGCTTATTCGTTCACTGATCTCAGTTCAAACATCCTCCCTCTATCCACCTACAACCCAAACTAAAAGAGCAGGGTCTCAAGGCAAGGGGCCAAACTCTTCAAGGCTGGGTGACATTGGAATTTATCTGTCTCAAAGGTTCACCAGGTAGTCTTGATGGAAATCTTTGCCCCCAAGTTACCACCTGATCAACTAGGGGTCCAGGCGATAAGAGGCAGGGCAGAAGGGGACTCCTGCCCACCCCTGGGAGAGGGAGAAAGAAACAGGGATCCTAAAAGCTGCTACCAACCCAGTGTCTACTGAGAATGCTTAGTGTGGCCCCTGTTCTCCTTGTATTTCCGTCCCCAGAACTGAACACAAGGCAGGGCACACAGTAGGGGCTCTGGAAGTGCTGCTGGATATAAAATAAATAAGCCAGAACAGCTGACTTGCTTGTATCATTGCATGAGGCTAGTGAGCTAAAACAGAACCCACCAGGTGAACTGGGATGGCGTCAGGAACCCCGGATTTTATTTATATAGAAGATGTTAGATAGGCAGGAGCAGAGCAAGGACGATGGGCCAGGTACAGAAACTCACCAGGGCAGAGAGCCTACCAAGGGGCAAAACTGGGAAAACAAGAACCTTGTCCTCAGGGTAACCGATCCTCCCCTAGCATATCTCTAGTCCCACGGGTTTAGACCCCCTGACCTTCCCCTAAAGATAACATCTAGGCCTCAGTTATATTTCAGCTCCAGGCTCAGGAAAGCAGCAAAACCAGAGAAGTGAGGACAAGTGACACGTGGCTGCCTCAGGACCAGCTGCATTGACTAATGACCCCCTGCCCTGGCACTGACCAATCAGTGGAGACTGTGACCCTGAAAGAGCACCCCTGGGAAGCTGATGAATATTCTATTAAGACTCTCCCCTGAGAGCTCCCTTAAGATTTCTACCTGTAAGAGAGAGATAAATATGCTTAGGACAAAGGACCCAGTGTGCGCTCTCCCCTAGGAGAGCACGCCAGCGCCATTCCCTTCCTCCTTCCCTCTAAGGCAGCGGTTCTCAACCTGTGGGTTGCGACACCTTTGGCGGTCAAAGGACCCTTTCACAGAGGTCGCCTAAGACCATCCTGCATATCAGATATTTACATGACGATTCATAACAGTAGCAACATTACAGTTATGAAGTAGCAATGAAAATAATTTTATGGTTGGGTCACAACATGAGGAACTGTATTTAAAGGGCCAGAAGGTTGAGAACCACTGCTCTAAGGGACCCCCACATGACTTGCAACCAGGGGACCAACAGGCAGCGGCAGCTTGTCCTTGCCCTGAACCTGTCTCCAAGGCCCCCTTTTCTCTGGCTTCTCAGTGAGCCAAAGCAGCTGGCCTAGGCTCCCCTGCCTTATTTCACTGTCCTAAGTATGTTTTTGCTGCCATCATGGACCCAATACCCTTTGGCTCAGTTCTGTGTAGCCCTTCCCTTTAGGTATCCCCATCCCCCACCTCCTTTTCTTTAAATAAATCCAATTTTTCTTTATCCATCATCTGAGATGGCTCTTCAGCCTGCCCACACATCACTGACTTTAACATTTCAGTTGACTCACACAGGTGCTCTTGAAACACACACTATGAGAGCACCCATCAAGAAAGTGACACACTGCAAGCGAACAGTGGCCCTATTACCTACATTCCACCAAGTCAGAGGAGGAGGTAGGATTTCAGGAGCTATTTAATGAAGATGTGAATTCCTAAGGAACCCCCTTAGATATTGCCTAAGTCCTGTCCCCCGCCAATTACTCTGCAAAGAGCCACCGATACAATGACCCTAAACCCTGCCTTTATCAACTCAATGCTACTAGATCCTCAGTGGCTCTGGTGTCAGCCTCATTAACCCCAAGCTCCATATCTGCTCCCAATTTCACCACAGATACACCAGGACCTGGTAACTGCTTCCCAAAGGCAATCTCCCTGCCAGGCACAGCCACTGCAAACCCTTGTTCTCAGGCTCTGCAGTGTCCCAGCCTGCACTGCTTCCAACAGGAACCAGGGCTCTTGGCCCTCAAACCCTTTCCAGAGAGAATGAAGAAGAAAACAGAGTGGCAGTCTTTGCAAGTCCTTTTGTCTGGGAAACTCCGGGTTGCACAGGGCAGGAGAAAGTATGAAACAAGGGATGTGTGTGGTTATTCAGCCATGAAAAGGCTCCTCTAAGCAGGCAGGCAGATGTGTGCACACACACCACACACACTGCACACACACATATCATGTACACATAAACCACACACTGATACACTACTTGTACACATAACGCATACCACCCATAAATACAGGGTGGGCAAGAGTAGTTTTCTAGTTGTGAATACATAAAACAGAGTATTCTTATATTATTATTTATTAACTAGAGGCCCAGTGCATGAATTTTTGCATGAGTGGGGTCCCTCCTGGCGAATCGGGGCCATCTCTCCCCAGTCCCAATCAGGCAAGGTCACAGCTGAGGGACTGTGGGCCAAGGGAGGTTGGCTGGCTGCAGGAGGTTAGCTGTGGGAGCACACTGACCATCAGGGGGCAGTTCCTGCGTTGAGCATCTTTCCCCTGGTGGTCAGTGCACGTCATAGCGACCGGTCATTCTGCTGTTCTGTTCATTTGCATATTAGTCTTTTATTATATAGGATTGTTGTACTATTTTCCATACAAACAACTGTAAACATACTTTTGCCCTACCCTATACAGATATGGACACACACAATACACACACCACATACCTATATCACACACACCACACATGTACACACACTAACACACACCACATACATATGTACCACACATTGACACCCTATATATACACACCCTACACATACTAACATAGCATACACACAGCACACACTAACACACAACACATGTACACATATGGACACATACCACACAATACACACAACATGCACACATACCCACAATCGCATCTTGTTTTCTGCTAAAGGACAGGCAGGGAGTGGAGCAGCTAGAAGGAGTAAGGGCTCAGCTGCTAAGAAAGGCTGGCTTCCTGGTAATGCCACCAAGCCTCCGCCAGGGAGAGACATGGCAGGAGAGAAGTGGCAGGGGACCCGTGGGAGAGCCAGGAATAAGCAGACTTGCAGGCTCCCTCCGTGAAACACAAGAAAGGGAGGTGTCAAAGGAGATGCTGCTTCTCGCTGCTGGGGAGGTATAGGGTGTTCCAAAATTCACTCAAGATTTGAATTTTGCGTGAGCATTAACAACAACAACAAAAAATAAAAGCCTAATTTTACTTGGTTTATTGAATCAGATTCTAATATCTGTTGCCCTTTGATTTCAATCCCTTCAATTTGATAAGCATTACCAAGTACCAATTATGGCCCAGGAGCAGGGACAATGAAGACCAATGAAGACCACGGCTTTGCGTATGTACCAGCAAAGCAGTGGAGGCCATTTACCCGATGTGCTATTCCTTACATAACCATATACTGTATATTTTATGAATCAATAAAAAATTTACAATTTTTAATTATAAACCTGTGTTTTCTATCAAAATTACTTCTTGCGTGAATTTTGGGACACCCTATAGGAGTGTCGGTGGGTGTCTACTCCTTGCTCCAAAGTGGAGGTTCCTCTAAAAGTTTAGAATACATTTGAATGAAAAAAATTAAAATCTCACTATACCTGAAACACTAGACAACTGATAAAAGCCAAGTGCAAACAGAAACGTTTCCACCCCCGTTTTAATCGGGGTGTCACAGCTGTGTCAAGAGGCCCGGGTGCGTGCCTATCAAACCACATGTAGCCTGAGAGCAGCTCCCAGAACTGCCCGCAGAAAACCCAGGAAAACCTTCATGGACCAATAGCTGCATCCGCATAAAGGGGTGTTTATTCAAAACACAGATGATCAGAACTAATTTCTAGAGACGGGGCCATTGATCTGCATATTTAACAAGCTCCCCTGGTGAATGATTCTTAAAACATCTCAGGTTTGAAAGCCAGCACTGTTTCTGACAGCTGCCTGGCTCATTCCTGCCTCTGTCCCAAACGCAACCTCGGGACAACAGAAATAAGGCAAAAGCTCCCAACAGCCCAGCCAGCCCATAGTGTATGGAACTGACCGGCTGCTGTGTGGGGTGTCTGACTTACTTATCTCTGTGCCCATGCATGGAGTCAGGCACACAGTAGGTGCTCAATAAGGACTGCTGAAATCAAATGGACTCACAACATGATCATTTTACCTCTTTTGAAACCATGCCAAGCACTTGCTATGAGGAGTCCTGTGGCCTCTGGAAGGGAGGCGCTGGGTTGCTTGTGGCTACTTCCTGCAGCACAGGCAGCCACGGTGTCCTCGCTGGCGTTACCAATGGGAGAACTGGTCTGCCCTCCTGGGGGCCATACTTCCTGCTGGGATCCTCACCTTTACAGGCTTTGGACACTGCTCTCTGGTGCTATCTCCTTGACTAGGCACTAGGCTGACCAATAAATGGGGTGTAGATTCCTGGTTTTCACTCCAAATGCACTGAGTGCAAACTGGGGAAGGCGCCCAAGAATGTGAATGTCGAGCAAACACCTCCCATGATTATGAGCCTGGCGTCCAGAGTTGGGCACTACCACAAACCCCGGTTTAAAAGCAAACATGGCCCTAACTGGTTTTGCTCAATGGATAGAGCGTCAGCCTGTGGACCAAAGGGTCCCAAATTCAATTCTAGTCAAGGGCACATACCTTGGTTGCAGGCTCCTCCCCGTCCTGGGTCCTGGTCAGGGCTCATGCAGGAGGCAACCAATCGATATGTTTCTCTCACATAGATGTTTCTCTCTGTCTTTCCCTCTCTCTTCCATTCTCCCTAAAAATCAATGGGAAAGCATCCTCAGGCGAGGATTAACAACAACAAAACAAAAGAAATGAAAGCAAACATGGTGACCATCCAGCTTCATTTTTTCTTTTGCTGGAACCTTTGCTGGGATGTCTGTTAAAAGGATCTCTGCATAGATATTTGCCATCTGGGTTTTGGGGGTAGGAACGGGTGTGGTGGGAGCTGCCCAACTTTTATTGATTTTTTACAGAGAGGAAGGGAGAGGAATAGACAGTTAGAAACATCAATGAGAGAGAAACATCGATCAGGTGCCTCCTGCACACTCCCTACTGGGGATGTGCCCGCAACCAAGGTACATGCCCTTGACCAGAATCGAACCTGGGACCTTTCAGTCTGCAGGCTGACGCTTTTATCCACTGAGCCAAACCGGTTAGGGCGCTGCCCAACTTCTGAGCCCACCTTTGCCAGTCTCACTGCAAGGCCAGCTGAGGCCCCCAGACTGTGCACTGGCACCCGGTAAGTCAGGCTCAGCCAATCAGATGCTTACTCCTGGGTTTGCACACATGGAGCACCGCATGGAGGCAGAGACTGTTTCTACCCCAGTCAGCAGCCACCTTCAGAGCCTCATCGTGGTGAGAGCCACGGCCATATAACAACCGGGAGCTCTTCCTGTCATTTCTCGGAGCCACCCAATACAATTATCCAGAGTTGGCTCCTATCATTTTCAAAAAATATATATTTGTATTGATATCAGAGAGGAAGAGAGAGGGAGAAAGAGATAGAAACATCAACAATGAGAGAGAATCACTGATCGGCCGCCTCCTGCACACCCCCACTAGGGATCAAGCCTGCAACCTGGGCATGTGTTCTGACCGGGAATTGAACCCTGACCTCCTGGTTCATAGGTCGATGCCCAACCACTGAGCCATGCTGGCTGAGTGGCTTCTATCATTTGTAACAAAGCAAATTCCAAGGGAGCAAAACCTATCTCCGTCATATTTTAAACGGTTAACAAAACAGTGTTTGGTTTAAAGTTTTATTATTTAACCTGCCCTCTGATGCACTTGTTTGCGTCATTGCCCAAGACTCACAAAACAGTCCAGGGTGGAATCATAAGGAAGCTCGTAAAAAACATTATGAGACGCATTAAGGAAACAGAACAAAACTAAAGGGCACTGCTGGGGAGATAGTGGAGCTGGAGGCTGGAGTCCGCCTTATGAGCTCTGTGACGGTTGCTTAAACCTCTCCACCGTTCCCTTTGCTCCTCTGTGAAATAAGATTGCGAATGGTGCTAGAGGGTTAAAGACACAACAGGCTCAGCACCTGGCACACAGCTGGCAGTCGATGGTAGGTCTGTACTGTTCCTGCCAGCACCAATACTCTCACCTAACAAGACAGGGCAGCTCCAAGGATATTGAAAGAGAAAATTCCCAAGTAAGTGAGAAAAGAAAAATAAATATTAAGTTGCCCATATTCCTGTTTTCTGGCCACACACACACACACACACACACACACCAAAATGCAGTTTCCTATAGTTCAACCTAAGCATGACCACAGTTGTTTGAGTCTCCACGGGCTCTGTTGCAGCACGGGGCGGGGGTAGGTTTAAGGACCCCAACCGCACACCTTATCCTCACCAGGGCACCCACCGCCCACAGGAGCCCGGGAAAACCTTATAGGAGCCGGGCAGGGAGGGCAGAGAATGGTCAGCAGCGCTGGGGCTGCAGGCGCAACCAGTTGCTGCAGGAAGCCTGGGGCCCGCGCTCCCCTCCCGTGCCGCCTCGCCGGCCCCCTTCGCCCCGCTCCCACCTCCCCCGGGGCCTCAAAATAATGGGCTGCAGGACACAAAAGACTGGACTGCAGGGCGGGTTGGGGAAGCTACTCCAGGAATCCGCCGCCTCCTGGGGGAGGGGGTTGCCCGAGTAACTTGGCTGCCCGGAGCGCTCGGCTCCGCAGCCCGGGTTGGCACGGATCGGGGTCCCCAAGAAGAAAGGGGCCCGGAGCGGTGTACCTCCCACCCAGTCATCGCATCCCTCGGCCCTCTGGACGTGGGCTTTCGGAGAAACTGACCTCAGCCCGACTGTCCGACTCTCTCACCGCCGGGCGCTTCCTCTGTCCCTTTGATGTCCTGGCCCTGCACCGCCAGGGGCGCCCCAGCACCTAGTTCTCATCCCGAAACCTCTGCGGGTCCCCGCGCGCGTCCCGGGTTAGTGAGCTCCCCGCGGAACCGGAGACGGGTCCCACTGCACCCCAGAGCTCCCCCCAGCTATGGTCGCTTGCACAGCGCATTCCAGGGGGCAAACTAGAGAGAGGTGACCCCTTCCCGTACCCGCAGGAAGGATCAGTGCCCCGCGAGCCCCCTGAGCACCCCTCCGTCCCCAGCACCCCCTCGCCGCAGAACAGCGCCCAAGCTCCTAAGGAGCCTCCCGGGGCCTGCTGCCCTCCCGAGATCCACCCTGTGGCCTTGGGGGTCGGGGTCCTGGTTCTGTTCGCGCTCCCCGCCGGCTCGCGCCCGGACCAGGCTGGCCTCCAGGGGATGGAAAGAAGACCCGCCAGGCAGCCTGCAAAGTTTGTGCTCGTCCACGCCCTGGCGGGGTGCCAGGACCACCTCGCCCTCCTTGTAGCCCCTCTGGCTCCCCGGCCGCTTTGGGGGTTCCCATCACCTGCCTAGGTGCCGGGGCGCGGGGTCTTGGGGAGCTGGGAGGTGAGGGGCGCAGAAAGAGCTGCTCAGTTCCCCATTCCCCGCCCCAGTTTTCTAGAAGGGGATGCGCGCACCAACTCACCCCACCCCCCAGAGTCCGCAGACGGTTCCCAGGCTCGGGGTAAGGACTTGGCCACTCACCGTGCGCCCCGTCCCGGTCCCGCTCCCGCTTCGGCCAGCACCGCCCGCGCTGCCCTCCCCCCCGCAGCCCTGCTCTCCAGCCGGCTCAGGAATGATTTATGTGGGGACCACCGGGGAGGCTTCCGAGAGGCTAGGGAGGAGGCAGCAGGACAGGAAGACGTCTGCTCCGGGGGGCGCTAGCGAGGCCGGCTGGGGCGCGGGGGGGGGGGGGGGCAGGGGGGACGGGGGGACCTGTTGCCGCCAGCCCTGCTCCCGTAAGTCCGCCTTTAAGTCCCAGTTTCCTTAAAGGCTCTCACCTGCCGCGGGACAGCGCGTGCGTCCAGGTGCCTGGTGGGGACCCTGCGGGGGGTTTAAAGATACTAAGCCCGGGGTTCGGGCCGCGCTCCCATTGGACCAGCCGAGCACGAGACCCCCGGGCACGTGGACTGCATGGGTTTCCTGAGGCGCGAGTCCCGCTCGCCCGCCCGCCCGCCCGCCCTGCGCTCAGCACCCACGCCTCCTCCACCGCCAGAGCCCTCGGCTGGCTCCGGGTGCCACAGCCCTTCTCCAGACTCCGCCTCTGTCTGGCTCCAACTCTGCCAGGTGGACTCCCTCAGCCGCCGCCGGCTTTTAACAAACGATTTACCCAAACAAAACAACACCCAAATCCTTGGGTCCCCTAGTATGTATCAATCACAATGCTAGTGGCCTGAGCCATAAAACAGCATAAAGCAGTGGTTCTCAACCTTGGCTGCACATTCGAATCACCTGGGAATCTTTTTAAAATCCTGATTTCTGGGCCTCATCCTCCGGAAATTCTGTTTCTTTGATACTAATGTTCTGGTCCCACCCCATAACAAAGAAACAGAATTTCCAGAGGATGAGGCCCAGAAATCAGGATTTTAAAATGATTCCCTGGTGATTCTAATGTGCAGCCAAGGTTGAGAACCACTGGCATAAAGCCTCATTCTCCCATGTGGGCATACAGGCATCGCTGACCGGGAAACACACGGCGACTTAATCAATCACTTCATGCTGGTCTCTCTGGGCTGTGAGCTGCCCGCCATCCCCACAGCCTTCACTGCTGCCTGGCTGTGCCTGGGGCACCTCCCCGCAGGAGGTTCTCACTCCCCACTCCCTATCTTGAATTGAGAATTCTAAGAGGAAGCATGAGAAGCATGAAGGAACGCGCTTTCAAGATGTGGCTAGTTCACTGTAGGTGTTTAACATTTGTAACATGGATAGATAGATGGATGGACAGACAGACCACTGAATGATGGACAGGAACATTAACTCAGGGCACTTTTACTTTCTCCAGAATCTACCAAAACAAGTGCTGGTGCCTGGCTGGTGTGCCTAAGTGGTTAAACAGTTGGCCAGCGCATAGAAAGGTGGCAGGTTGATGTCTGGCCCAGGGAGCCAGGGAGGGGAGACAGGGGGAGAGGGGGGACCAATCCATGTGTCACTTTCTTCTCTCTCTCTCTCTCTCTCTCTCTCTCTCTCTCTCTCTCTCTCTCTCGTCTCTCATTCCTTTCCTTCCTCCCTTCCACTCTCTCTAAAAATCCATGGAAAAAATATCCTTGAATGAGGACTTAAACACACACACACACACACACACACACACACACACACACACACACACACACACCAGGTGCTGGCAACTTTGATTTAAAGTTTAAACTCATCCTGAAAGTGCATCTTTCCAGGACAACTACTACTACTTCAGGAAACTTCTGAAAGTTACACCATAGGCATGGCAGAGGCCTGATGGTCCCCTTCTGAGGCTCCCGCTGGTCAGAGACCCCAGCTCAGAGGCCCCAGCACCTCTGATCAGAAGCAGCCTCTCGGGGTGGGGCCCAGAGGTGAATTCTCCCTCCGGAGAGCAGCCAGCTCTGACTGACCTGCCTCAAATTTTGGTCCTGACCCTTTTCACCACTGTGACTTTGGCTGCTTTATCTCGCTGTTTCCTCATCTGAAAAATGAAGAAAAGAAGAATGAGCCAGGCTCATTTTTATTTCTAATAATAACCATACCCACACAGTAGTAGTAGCGGTGAGTGCTAAGGCTTAGTGGGTGTTCACTATGAAGGAGGCAATATGCTAAGTGCTTTAAGTGCATTATTTTATGTGATCTTAGCAACAGCGGCATCACACTCTCTCCATCTTAAAGAGAAGGCTACTAGTAAAATCATGTCAGTCATTTGTCCAAAGTCCCAGAGCTGGTAAGTGAAGCAATAATTTCGAACCCAGATCTGGCCTCCAGAGCCCTAACACACGAGACACCCAATGTTAGGTGAAACCCTTGAGACCTGTGCTCCCCAGTAGACAGTATGCTCCAGCTATTTTTATCCATTTTCATTACCCCCAAATCCTAGCCTACCTAGGCCATCATAGGTGTTCAGTCGGTGAATGAACAAATAATAAACACAGGGCACAATATGAAGATCTGGTCTGAGCAGTCTTGGGCAGGCAGTGACCTGGCCTCATGATTTGTTCGGTCCCAGTTTGGCTTAGGGCCCTAACCCTACAGTCCTGCATTTTTAGTGCATCTGAATTTCTATGCCATCTGTTCTATGCAAGGATAAAAGGGGGTGATGTTATGTCCATACACACACGCAGTCATTAGATGCAAAAATTAGGTCTCTCTTTCTGAAACTGCTTCTCATTTTTCCTGCCCAAATGAAATCTAAGCATGAGGCACCATGGCATCCCAGCTAGAGGCAGGAGATTCACTCCAGTTCCATTGCTAACTGCCAGTGTTACAGACCTCCAGGCCTTCACATTCCTCACTGGACCAGGAGCCCCACCTCAATGACCACCTGGGGCTGGAGGCTACCATTAGGACAGTGTAGATAGAGGATGTCTGTCATCACGGACAAGTCTGCTGGGTAGTAGACTTGTAATTTTCCATAGTAAAGGAAAATTACACTACCACAGGGATAAGAAGATTGAGTTTCAACAAAGCTATCAGGGTTCTGTGACATTGGAAATGAGATGTTGATTGAGATGAATTATTGTCAGATTACCCAACACTTAGTCATTCAACAATCCGAACTATGTCTTTGACAAGATGTTTCTTATGAAGGACTTTGGATATTTTTATCTGAGTCACTAAGACTAAAACAAAATAGGTTAGAAGTATATTACTCTAGTTAATCTGACAATTCCTACCACAAACAACTATGTTAAAAAAAAAATGACCAATGAAAATAGCAGTTTATGACCCTTTAGAAAAACAGGATTGGGCGACATCCAGTCAAGATGGCAGTAGGTAAATGTGGTACCCTCATCCTCCCACAACCAGAGCAAAATTACTAGTAAACTACAGAACAATGATCATTCAGAACCATCTGAAATCTAGCTGAATGAAAGTCCTACAAATACAGATTTAAAGAAGCCACTTGGATACTGGTAGGAGGTGCAGAGACTTGGAAGAACGGGGCCCATACCCACATATGATGGACACAAATTGGGAAGGATATCTTGGCTGTGGGGTTCCCCCTAAGGATTCAGAGTCCCAGCACTGGTTCCAGTGCCAGGAAGAAAAGTCCCCACAACTGCTGCCTGTAAAGACCAGCGGGAATTGAGGCTGAGGGAGAAGGAGAGCTGCAAGAGTCTCAGGCATTCCTCTTAAAGGATTACACACAGACTTACTCAGACTCATATCCTCTGACCTTACAATGCTGGGGCAGCAGTTTGAAGGGCAGCAGGGATATATAGGGAGGTACTGAATTGTCTAGCATCAGGATGAGGGCTAAAAGGGAGGCTTTCGAACCAGATCTGGCCTGGGGACAGAAGTACACTGGCATAGGCCATTGTTCCTTTTCTAAGCCCTCCCTCCACAGAGCTGGCAGTCAGGCACCATATCCGAGTCTCCATCAACCTGGCTAACACTATTAGCCCCACCCTGCTGATTCCCTGAGACCCCATACCACTCAACTCGTGGGCCCATCCAAACTATTTTCAGTGGCTTTTCCATACAAACAGCTTGTCTTGGCTCATACTTCAGACTTTCCTAAGACCTTTCAAAAAAGCAGCATCTGGACTTGGCATGGCCCATACCTCTTGCTACGTGGCCCTAGGCCTTGCACTAGTGGCAGCCAGCCTTGGTTCACAGCTTGGCCTCTCCTGGGCACCTCCATGCCCAGCACAAGTAGCAGCCATCTGCAGATTGCTTTGTAGCTCATGTATGGTGTCAGATAGGTATGAGATATATTGGGACTATCACTGAGTAAGTTATATGATGTCTAATTACTGGGGTGTACACCTGAAACTAATATGATATTGTATATAAACTGTAATAGAAAAAAATGATTTTTAAAAAAGAATGCAGAACTAAAAAGCATGTGCATTTGTAATTTTTGACGGCTATTGTCATAATTTTAAGGTATCCTCTACTTTATACTTCTATCTGCAATATATTAGAATTCCTGCTTTCCTACATCCTCATACACATATTATGTCATCAAACTTTTTGATATTTGACAATATGAGAAGTAAAAATACTATTGCCTAAATCTAATTTGCATTTCTCTTATAGCAAGATTGAACATATTTTCCTATAGCTATAACAGCAATAAGATTTTACCTTTTTCCTCAAAAAATTAAATATGGAAATGCCATTTGACCCAGTGATCCCATTTCTAAGAATATATCCTAAGAAACCCGAAACAACAATTAGAAAGAATACATGCACCCCTATGTTCATAGCAGTGCAATTTACAATCACTCTGATCTGGAAACAGCCCAAGAGCCTATCAGTATATGCATGGATACAAAAGCTACGGTACATTTACACCATGGAATACTATGCAGCAGTAAAAAAGAAGCATCTCTTACCCTTTGAGACAGAATGGAAGGAGAGTATTATGCTAAGTGAAATAAGCCAGTCAGAGAAAGACAAGTATTACATTGTCTCACTCATATATAGAATCTAATGAACAAAATAACCTGATGAACAAAATAGATCCAGAGCATAGAAGCATGGAACAGACTATCAAATCTCAGAGGGAAGGCAGGGGTGGGTTGGTAGGTGGGAGGAGATCAACCAAAGAACTTGTATGCATAACTCATGGACACACATAACAGTGTGATGAAAGTGGTGGGGGTGGGGGGGGAGGTGGAGGCAGGCTAGAAGGGGGTCAATGGGGGAAAAAGGGGGACATATGTAATACCTTCAACAATAAAGATTTTAAAATTAAAAAAATATATTATCTTTTCTGTAAACTTTTCTCAACTGTTACTTTATATGTAAAAGCTTTTCAAAATGAATGTTCTCCAGTAGCGATCATTTCATTTCTATCACTGGGCCAAAGATGATCTGAAGCATAACATTTTGTTGTCCTATAGGGTAGTGACAAGTTTTGCAACTATTAGCAAAACTTCATGCCTGCCCAGTGTGTCTCAGTTGGTTGGGCATTATCCCATGGACCAAGAGGTCACTGGTTTGATTCCT